CTTGAGCCCAGGAGTTGGAGGTTGCTGTGAGCTGTGATGCCACAGCACTCTACCCAGGGGGACAGCTTGAGGCTCTGTCTCAAAAAAAAATAAAAAATAAAAAATAAAAAAATAAAAACACATTTGACAAGACATAATCCTGTTGACCTACCTATGGAAATATCAATTTCCAGAACTGAATGTTATGCCTAGACTATATTCCCCAAATTGCAAATACTGAATTCCAATAAAATTTCTCATACTTCAAACCTGTCTAAAGAGATTAATATTGTTTTTTAACTGATACTAGTAATAAAAAAATTTGAAAAGTAACAACTAGAACAGCGCTTTAGGATGCTGAAAAGCAAATATGGTGAGACTGACATTTCAAAATTCTCAAATATCCCAAGTTATAGTTAATCTCAAGGTAAAAGCAAAGACTCTCTCCATGTTTAAGAGAACAGGGGCAAACACCTGTTTTTCATCTTGAATGACTAAAATTAAATACAGCTCCTAGTTGACAGTCAAAGCTCTACTGTATTTAGCAAGAGGTTGGAGATCTGATAGTTACCTTTTTTTTCCCTCCAGATCCTTAAAATTCTATCTTGGTATAAAAGTCAGGTTCCAAAGGAAGAATTAAGAAGAAAGAAAAATTTAATAATTTAGTAATTGTTTTATTTTGTTTTTGAGACAGTCTCACTTTTGTGGCCCTCCATAGTGTCCCCTGGCATCACAGCTCATAGCAACCTCCGACTCTTGGGCTTAGGTGATTCTCTTGCCTCAGCCTCCCAAATAGCTGGGACTACAGGCACCTGCCACAATGCCCAGGTATTTTTTTGTTGCAGTTGTTATTGTTGTTTGGCAGGCCTGGGCCAGGGTTGAACCCGCCAGCTCTGATGTATAGGGCTGGCACCCTAGCTGCTAGGCTATAGGCACCGAGACAATAATTTAGCAATTAAAATGTTTATTTACAATTTTAATTTCTTTCCATTTAATCCTTACGAGTGTTAATATAATATTTACATTGCTATGTTGTGATGGTAAAGCTGAATTAAAATAAAAGTAGCTTGATCATATTTCTGTGGATTTATCTTCTATTAACCAGCTGCCTTCATTAATTATACTTTTCTGCCACTGAGTGTGGTAAGCTTACCTTATACTAATCTTCCATTTGATTAATAAAATCTCTTTCATTTCTGCCAAAAAGTCCCTGAAAATCATTAGCACCAGGAGGGATCTTGCTGGGCATTACTTTGCCCTTTTAGGCCTTCCTGAGGAAGGGAAAGATCATCATGTGTCTCTGCCACCTCACAAACACCCCACAGCCCCTCAGGGCCATCCCCTTTCCTTCTCCTTCCCTCACTTAGCTTCCACAATCTACCTCAGATCTTTGTGCATGTGTGGGTCAATGTGTATTCTCTGTGGGAATGGCTGACAAAGCCTCAGAGAAAGCAATCTGTGTGTCTCCTCACGTAAGATGTGCTGGCTGTAGGCTGGCCCCCTGGAAAGTAGTGTGGGCTTGTTGACCAGGGCCTTCTCTGCCTGATATCCCCACCCCCTTCTGCTCACTCTTCCCTTCCATCCTTCTCCTCTGACTCCCAGCCGTCACCACTACCAGCAGCCCCTCAGTCTCCTCTTCCTCCAACCTTTTCTACTGTCATTTCTTGACAGAAATCACTTCTCCTCATTTCTTGAGGAGAAATCCAAATCCTTTTACCTCAGGGGAAAAAACCAGGGATTTCCAGGGTGGGGATGAAGAGGATGAATGAAGGGGCAGTGGGAGACAGATACATAGAAGACTCTTAAAAATCACCTGTGAGACTAGGCATGGTGGCTCATGCCGATAATCCCAGCACTTTGGGAGGTTGAGGGACGAGGTTCACCAGAGGCCAGGAGTTTGAGACCAGCCTGGGCAACATAGACTCTTTCTCTACAATTTTTTGAAATTTTTAATTAGCTGGGTATGGTGGGGCACACCTGTGATCCTACCTAGCTACTAAGGAAGCTGACACAGGAGTCTAAGGTTCCAGCCTTGGCAACAGAGCAACATTTTATCTCTTAAAAAAAAAAAATCTTCCGGCTCAGCGCCCATAGCTCAGCAGCTAGGGTGCCAGCCACACACACCAGAGCTGGTGGGTTTGAACTCGGCCTAGGCCTGCCAAAATAACAAAGACAATTACAATAAAAAAAAATAGTCGGGCATTGTGGCAGGCACCTGTAGTCTACCGAGGGCAATATAGTGAGACTCTGTCTCAAAAAAAAAAAAATCTTCCATGGGCCGGGTGCGGTGGCTCATGCCTATAATCCTAGCACTCTGGGAGACTGAGGTGAGTGGGTGGCTGGGGCTCACAAGGGCAGGGCCTGGTCTCTAAAAACAGCTAAGCAGTGTGATGGGCCTGTAGTCCCAGGTACTCAGGAGGCTGAGGCAAAATAATCAGTTAAGCCCAAGAGTTTGAGGTTGCCGTGAGCTGTGATGCCACAGTCTCTATTGAGGGCAACAACATGAGACTCTGTCTCAAATAATAATAATAGGCTCGGCGCCTATGGCTCAACCGGCTAAGGCGCCAGCCACGTACACCTAAGGTGGTGGGTTCGAATCCCCAGCCTGGACCCGCCAAACAACAATGACGGCTGCAACCAAAAAATAGCCAGGCGTTGTGGCGGGCGCCTGTGGTCCCAGCTACTTGGGAGGCGGAGGCAGGAGACTCGCTTGAGCCCAGGAGTTGGAGGTTGCTGTGAGCTGTAATGCCACGGCCCTCTACCCAGGGGGACAGCTTGAGGCTCTGTCTCAAAAAAAAAAAAAAAAATAATAATAATAATAATAATCTTCCATGCACAACTAGTGCTGGAGGGGGGAAAAAAACAAATCTCTAAATCTCAATATTCAGAAGAGTCTTACATCCCTAACCAGGGAGATATTTCCTGCTGGTAGGGGCTTGAATAATCCTTTATTATGTACTCAATGGAGCCAGGAATGCAGATTTGCATAAGTACTCAAAAGAATTATCTAGTCTCCTCTCTGGAACCACTTTTGGTTCTTCTTTCACTCACCTCCATAGTTCCTTAGTCCTTGAAACCTCATTCCAGACCTGGAACAAGGAGAAGGAGAAAAGAGTGTCTGGTCAGTCAACAGGCAGTTAGCAACTAGCCTGCAAAGTCTTGTAAAGAGGACAAAGAGCTAAATTAGAATCAGTCCCTGCACGTGCGCGCCCACACAAAAACAGCATAGAAATCTGAAATGATTAACAACAATCAAATAATGAGGAAGAGAGAAGGACCAAATCAATGGGGTTGAATGGTAAAAAGCCAGGGGGCAGAGAATTGATCACTGATCAAGTCCCAAAAGAAAGTCACTATCCTCTAAGAGAATTGCTGAAGCACTGCAGGGAGAGGCAGAAGAGCCAGGGTTCCCAAGTGTGAAAAAGATGGGTAAATTGTCTTAAGTAGAAGCCAGGGTTCTGATTGGAAAGGAATGAGAAAGGGCGCTGGCTATTCATACTAGCAAAAACAGTGAGACGCTTCTTGAGGATTTTTAACACAGGAGTGGTAGGGTCAAACTATGCTTTAAGAAAATTGCTGCAGCTGATGAGAAAGCAGGCTTGAAAATGAGAGCAGGTAAGTAAGCCTTGTAGGACAGCTGCTATAGTGCAGTAAACTGAGACACTGGCCCAAAGGATGTTCCCAAGATGCCAAGATGGTAGAATGGGAACAGCTGGGGAAGAGGATTACTATGTGGGTGCTGTTCCCACAACTGCTCTCTGCAGGAAGTATATGCAATAGCCTCAGGATGGTTCTGTGGATGGGGATCAGAGTGCCACAGTTCTCCCTCCCTCAGGCCCAGGTCTGCCTCCTGGACCTGCCTGGCCTCTCCAGCTAAACCGCCCTGGATTCTGAAGCCTACAAACTTTTAGGGGTAACTCTCTAGAGCCAGCCCATCTGAAGGTCCCATCCCAGAAATGTGTGACTTTCCAAGCCTCCGCAGTGTAATGAATCCATTTCAATATCTCTCTCACCCATCTGCTAGCTCAAACTTTCTCAGATAGAAGTCTTTTTGGCTTTAGGGAATGTAAAGTTTGCATTTTGCAAAATAAAATCAAGCAAGATCTGTGAATTTTCCTTTTCTGTAGTTTCTAGTTCAAAACCCAACTGGAATTTTATTTCCCAAAGAATTATAATATGTAATATACACTACGAAATAAATGCTCCCTATCTTTGAAGATCCTTCTGTCGGATCCTGGCCTTCACAATGACACCACAAGGAGAGATTACTGATCTTACCTATGGGAAAATTAGGACCGAAAGAAGTTGGTGCTACCAAAGAATATGAGGCACCTCCCTGCCAAACTCTGCCCCTAAATTACCCCTAGTCTACTGCTATCAGGCCAGGGATCTAACTCCAGCCCCGCGCATGACTCATTGAGCGACCTTAGGCAAATCACAGTGTGTTGTTATTCAGCTTTTTTACAATAAAAATGGGGATGAAAAAAAATGACAAGCTCAGGAGTCTCCAGTGCACGCGTTGGACCTCCTGAGCCTCTGCCGACATCTTCCTTGGGGTAGCGTGGGCCCTCAGCAACATCACTCACGAATTCGGGGCAGCCTGACGCCCTTCCCTCACCAATGGTGGAACTCTGGGCCCAGGCGAGAAGGGCTGGGCGTTGGACACACGGGCGACAAGAACACTGGCCATGTCTCTCGCCCTAGACACAGCGCATTACCTTGTTCACCTGCGCGGTGGAAAGCAGGTCTCGGGCCTCCAGGAACGAGAAAACGTGCAACAGTTCGTGCGGACCCAGCTGTGGGGCCATTTCGCCGCCACACCCCGCCGTCTCCGCCGCGCTTCCTCCCGGGCTAG